CGTTAGTGGTCTCTTTGGTAGGGAAAATAGTTCTTTTAATAAACTTTGCATAAGGAAACTCAGCAAGGCGTGTTCGATGATAGCGTAATTCGCCGTAAAACTGGCGAGCCGAAGCGAACGCCTTTCTAACGGTAGCTCGTTTTCGGGGAGATTTCCGCGGCGATTGACTCGCTCGATCGCGTGGGCCGGCAAACTCTTCCTAGGAAAAGCTGATCGATAATGATCTGCGGCCTCGCGAGCTTAGATAACATCCTCGAAAGTATGAAGAACGCGATGAATATGCAGTCAATCCCATAAACATTCGTACCCTCTGTGTCTATTTGCTGTACGTATCGACGGTTTCCGAAGCCGTTAAGCGGTTTCCTGTGCGAGCGAAGCCGCGTGAAAAAATTAGTATTTACATATACATCAACATATTTATGCAAATATACACTTGAAAACATTACACCTACCATTTAATTTAAACAAAATAGGACTGACTGTATGTGGGATATTTGGAGCACAAGAAAATAATATGAATGACAATCAGTGATTCTAGTTTGATTCTTCCGTAAAACGACGTTTGTATTTAAATTTGAAAACACAGTCGAGAAAGTCAGCTAGTACCGAGATTCCTTGCTAAGATTGGGATGGATCAGAGATGACCACTCGTCGCTTCGAAGGATTTCGCGGTGGATGCTCGGTGCGCGTAGGCGGTCGTCTACTGGCGCAGATTGAACGGACGATAACTCGATGAGACGTCCTCGACGCTGACGGACAAAGAGTGCGAGCCGACGAAAAGTGAAAGTTACTCGCGCAAAGAGAGAACGATACGAACGATCGTAGTAACGGTGCCTGAAATTCGAAGGCGGAGACTTCGATCCCGGGATTTCGCGTCCCGACGCGACGTCTAGCCCTTCCCATCGTGGGAAACGCGCGGTCCTAAACATTTCCGTTATGGACGAGGACTCACCCTGCAAGGGACTCCATTCTTTCAAATACTAAACTTGTTTACATGCTTAAGAAAAAGCTTCAATTAATTTTAATGAATTAAATACAGTCAATCCCACAAGTGTTCGTACCTTTTATGTCTATTGAAGACATTTGTCTAAATTGATCGATAGGTTTGATGTTTCCAAATAATTTTTTTATTGGCAAACCTGTTAATTTAGACAAATTTCTTCGATAGACATAGAGAGTACAAATACTTATGAGACGACTGTATATCTATATTCTAAGAGTAGGAAGTATGGTACCAATGCCTCGAATCGTTTGCCAGTCCTGGTTCTTGGGAACCCTTAATTTTCCCCCTGACTTCAATGGACTCCCACCGGCCGAAGAAGGTAACTCGTTGGAAATTCGACGGCGAAACTTTCCCTTCTGTCGCGCCCCATATAAGAAAGAAAAACGTTCTCGTCGAACAACTTCTCGAGGAAGCAGAAAATCTGGAGTCGCGAGTTTAACGGGATCGCTCGATCCGTTGCCAATCTGGACGCGACGAGAGTCCTGAAGTGAGAAAGATCGATTCCCGGAATAAAATCGCTACCCTACTGCCGTTATATCGAGGAGAAACACGTACCAAGGGGGGTTCAACCCCTTCAACAGGAAGTCCTAATTCGACCTGAGGCTGACGTAACGTTAGATATTTCGTAAGAAATTAATAAAAATCGATTTTGGTCATTATTTTAGGTACTTGGATAACTTTTATACAATGCTAGTACGCATGTATTTCGCAAGTGTTCGGATTCTTTTGAGCGATTGTGTACGAGAGACCACCAATTTCCTACCTAATTGGTTGGTTAAATAAATGGAAGATTCCCCGTGCTGTAGGGCCGTCGCGCGAGGAAAGAAAGAGCGCGAATAGCGATGATTCGCTGCTCGAAGGATCAGCTGCGTTCTCAGGGAAGCAGAGAGAAAGACGGTGTTCGCGACCCGTGAGATACCTTCTCGTTAATTAGAAGCAAAACGACGAGCGAAAGCTCGATCGCGCGTAACGAGCGAATGCGATACCTACGCGTAGCTGCGCGCCTTGTCGATCCGTGACCGCGCCCTGGATCAACAAGGATCGATCCTTTTCACGATGGTTGACTCTCTGAAACGTGAGAATTTTAATATCTGAATTGTGCGCCACGTGCATCGCACTTTCGCCAACGGAACTGGTTAAAAATCATTTCTTTGGTCGTTAATTTATTCGAGATTCCGGCTACGCGCGACATTTGGAAAGTTCGGTAAACGAACGTTTAGAAAAGTTGTACGAAATTGTAAATATTGGCGAAATTGAGCACATACACGCTTTGCGTGCTCTTTATTTGCATAACGAAGACTTTCTCAAAAAGGAAAGGACGTTCGATCCTCGATCGAGAATCCCGCGAACTGGTGAGGCATTCCGAAGAGGCGGACCAGTCTCGCAATTTTCTCGCCAAAAGTTCCGCGCTTTTACCGCCTTTGATGGAACCCGATCGAATCAAGAAAACGTTCAGGTGCGAAGCTTGATAGCACTCTGTTCGCTAATGGTGTTTTTAGGATTAAGTCGTGGAAACTCGAATCGAAACACGATTCAATTCGATGTCCGCAGCAACTGTTAGATCGCCTGATAAAAATTCTAGGAAAAAATTTTAATACGGAAAACACCGTTTGCGCTCATAGTGCGACGAAGTACTGAAATCCAGTCAGCCGTAAACACGGATACCGCTACCATGAAACGGAGATGGGTAAAATTCCTGTCTAGCTATAAATGTCGAATAACGAATAAAAGGTAAACAACTTTTATACTCGTTATTTCCAATGAAAAATACCCTTTCTCCACATATTCTCCTATATCTATATCCTACTTTAGTGGATATATTGTATCGTTATCTTTTTAGATATTGCCATAAATTTAAATTTATATCAAAGTACGGCGTTATTTTGTGTAAGTTAAATAACGCGAGGAGCAAATGGCTGTACGCTGCGTTGGAATAAAATTTTGCCCATTTCTGCTACGAGAGAATCTCGAACGTCGATAGCAGGTTGGAATCTCGCAAAGCGATCGCTCGCAGGGATACTCGAACGATGGAAATCGCTGCGTGGCTCTTTGCCGGCGAGAGTATGCGCGCGTTACGCAACCAAACGCATTGAAATAATAATGTTCGGCCTTGCGAAAAGTGCCTCGCCTTCTGCACTGCCTCTTACGGATTCGTACGAAGACCGATCGAAAGTTGGCTCGAAAGCGAACGGGTTGGTAGAGGTCGTTCCACGCACTGGACAATTTTTATGAAATTTGGATTAGTCGCGATCTCCAAGGGTAGTTAGAAGGGTAGTTAAAAGGAACTATACGAAATTTGTGTTGCAAAGAATCCAAGTTTAAAATTCATCGAGAGATAAACAAATGCTAGAAAAGGTGCCAACTATCGATACGCGAATCATAGGTAGGGGATATTCGTATCACAGCTGGTCGAACTCGAGCTACAAGCTAAAGATTAGACAGCAAAAGAAACGTGATCAGTGATGGAGATGGCTCTTGATCGCGATTCCGAGCATAACTTCTGAAAACTACATCTTCCTTCTACACCTTGTAATTGTAAATAAAATCATTCGAAGTGGACCACTCGAATGCATGCTTCTCGCCTTGTGAATGATGCGTACTACGACAAGAAGATTCTTGTCGTCGAACGACTAGTTCGCCAAGACCAAGTGTAAACAAAGCTCGCGGTTGCAGCGGGGACGTCGAGTGCGGAGCACATAACGGGGCAACGTCACGGAGTGTTGACGTTCTTCCGATTTCCCTTGCGTGTCATTCCTAGCTCTCTGCTTTTCGGTATCATTTTTCAAATCTCCAACTACACCCGTCTCGACTATCATCCACCGAGAAGAATGCCGACACTGAAACAAGAAATCTCAAAACGTGGCAAACAATGACCGTCTATGAAACCACCTAAACCCGTTTGCAATGAACCTAATAGACAGTGACCACACCTACCGGCCGAAAAGGCACATTCCACTCAACCGAACGGATTCATAAACGTTTAAACGCCACTCGTTTGTGGGATAAGCATTCTAGGAATTACCATTATGTAGCTGCCGCTCATTCGCTACAGTTCCCCTGACATTTCCGTAATTTATAACTCTGGTTTAAACGGATATATTTAATACGAACATTCCTGATCTCTATTACAATGTATCTATACACCTAACCCGAGTCTCAACCCAATAGTCATTGGAATGCATCTACACAGAATTAATTTCTACGCCTAGTAATAGCCTGTTAATAACGTAAAATTCTTATCGAATAACTCGTCGTACATTTCTCATTGAACAAATAAAAGAAATGTCCAACGAGTGCTACCGATCTCGATCGCGAGCTCTGAAGCCGCGATCCAGAAGCCAACCGAGCAGCTTTCTACGAGACTCGTATTCCGCGAAAGGAAACGTATGCCGTCGAAACGATCGCATAGATCGCGCGGGAGAACAAAAGAATCTCGTTCGAGAATCAAACGTTGGCGGGCACACGCGGTTTCGCCGATCGCTGAAACAACCAACTCGTTCGGCACAACCAAACGATCGCAACGTCTTGGCCGCTTTCGTTTCGTCGCGCTCAACGAAATCACGAGCATTGTCTTCGGCTACGAGAACGCGTTTTCTTCCGCGAGCATTGTTTCCCGCCATGGGATCCACGATACGATATATGTGCTCGACTTCGCGAGAAACTCCTTTCATTGGTTGCTTTAACCCTTCGCGGTCCACAGTTTCCGATTTCGGTACACTTTTGTCGAGCCTTGACACAGGAACCCAAGTGTGAACCGGAAGAATCGACGCTTAGAGTTTGCGTTGCGATTCGATATCTCCTCGATGATCCTATTTACTTTTCTACCGTATGCTATGTTTACGTTATACTAATGTTCTTATAACATAAAACACCCCATATCTATATCTACATCTGTGACTATAAAAGACCTTGGACCCCAAAAAACTCAATAGAGGAAAAGATCGAGAATACGTGTCACGGATAAAAGTATGTTTTAGAAACCAAACGTTGTACACACCGATTGTCAATTCCACTGGGCTCCTCGTTCCACTTTTTCTTCGCTTCTCACAAAGTCATTCCACGTAAACGATCGAGATATCACGGATGTCACTGCGAAACGGATACTCGTCTTAATCGGGTTGACAAGCGAGGGATAGATCGCCGAGCACCGGGATTGTTCAACTGTCCACTGTCTTCGTTCGACTACCGGTGAACTTGTTGAAACAAAACTCGCGACGCACTGAAACACTGATTCTCGAGTACACGACGCCGTGACTGTTGGATAAATATTTTACGATCATGCACGTTATAACTTTGATAATTTTGATCGTACCATCGATCGTGCCGCCAACGTTTGACGTTTGCTTCGCTCCAAAAGAGAGGAGACGTCGAACGGAAAGCTGAGTGTAAAAGGCGGGAGAAAAGGGAAGAAACGAGAAAATGAGTGAAAATACAAAAGTGAAAAGGGAGAGAAAGAGAAAAGAAGAGGAAAAAGAGCGAGGATTGAAAACGTGGTGCGGCACAACGTATCGAATGTTCGACGTCTCGAAGAGAAGTGCGATTCGCGCGTCCACTATCCTCTAGCGCGACGCGAAATCGGGACTGAGCTCGACCCTCGAATCCCCACCCCTAAAAAACCCCGGCTAAAACCGTTCTCCTACCTTGCTCTGATCCCCACTACCATGTAACGCCTCGCGTTTTCCTTCCCTCTCTCTCGTTCGCACCGCTAACTTTTTCCTCTCAACATTCCTTTTACCGCGACTTCTATTTACGTATGATTTCTCGTTCAAACGATACACGCATAGCAGTCTTATGCTCCGATACTCTCTTTTACTGTGCAATCAGCTATTAATTTTAAACAAATCGATTCTAAGTAGTTGTTCTTTCAAACGAGTCCAAGGAGAATACAAAGCCTATCAAAAGTTCTATATTTATTTCCTATTTGACTTATTACGCCTATTATAAATAAATAGACGTAATGATTACAATGTATATTTTAATCTACAGTATATTCTCTAAACAAATGGCAATTTGTTTGTTTAGTGCTATGTACAAGTTACAGTGATGAGTGTCGAGTTCCAAACTATTTGTAAGGAGGCCAGGTCCATTGGTGCTTTGGAGGTTCTTCTATCAAACTTTCCCATGGTTTCCAATTTACCATCTTCTCCGCTAGAGTTAATTCATTCTTTGCTTGTTGTATAAGCTCTTCCACTTGGCCGCAACCTATCTTTTGTTCTATGGTAGCTACATCTGGATTCTGCAACAGACACAGACAATTAGAATTAACTTTAGATGATTTAATATAAATCAGATAGATTGTAAATTACCTCTTTTACGATAGCACTTCGCTCTTTGACAAGTTTTTCAGTGTGTTTCCTGTAAGCAGATTGTGCTGGAATGGTTGCCAAAACAGCCAAAATTTTTTTGTACGCCTTAGCAAGTTCGCGATGAGGATATTCCGATACAGCAAGACCTGCTAATCCTGTTGTCTAAAACGAAGAAGAACTGAGGTGGAGAAATGCAGAAAATTTCGAAGTAACATACAAAACAAAGTGGTTATGGTTATATTTGGAATGACACTCGAGTTTGAGATAAATCCAACATTACCACACCTTTCCTTCGTTTTGAATACTTCTTGTAGATGCGTTACCTTTTTTAATACTCTCGCCATGATCGAGAGTATTGTACAATCACACGAAAGCTGATTATGTGACAACCGTTTAACTTTATGGCTAAAACAGTTTAATAATATTAATATATTCTTGTAGTAGCAGCACTGTATCCATTACACTCCTATTGGACATGAAAGTTGTTCCAAAGTGTGATTGGTCAAACAATATAACCTCACTTTTTATCGCTGAGGTTTGTCCAATTTTCTTATCGAAAAATGATTTTAATGTTATGTTTAAGAGAATTCAATTAACCAAACGTATAATTAAAAACATTATCAATATGTATCATTATTTTTTCTTACCCTAGTAATAAAGGGCAACAATGATACATTCTTACAGTTAACGTTTGGCGCCACCGTCACCTGACTACCAATTTATTTACTTTTTTAGTTTAAATTTTAAATCCAACGTTTTCACGTAACTCTCGTTTTTTTATTTTGTTTTTATCTCGATAGTCATCGTGTAACCAATGCAATAACAAAACTGTAAATGGTTTTTACCAATCTTACGAGTTACGCTTACTAATAAAATCTTTGTACAAAAAGGTGGAAAATAATAATAAGATCACTTTAAAGATAAAACATTTATTTGTACGTTTTCACGAAAAAAGGTGTTTATCGGTTAGATTTAGCGACTCGCTCGAGTTCATCCTTCTTTTTGATCGCGTACGAATTTGACGAGCCTTTGGCAGCGTTTATGAGTTCATCGGCTAAACATTCAGCAATTGTTTTAATATTACGGAATGCAGCTTCCCTAGCACCGGTACACAGTAACCAGATAGCTTGATTTACACGTCGTAACGGCGATACATCGACCGCTTGTCTTCTGACTGTACCAGCACGACCGATACGCGTGGAGTCTTCCCTAGGTCCCGAGTTAATGATAGCCGTCACAAGAACCTAAATCAAAATATATCAGATGTTTATCACATATATATGTATACATTCATACACAAAAAATTGGGAAGATTTAATTACCTGCAAAGGATTGTCGCCTGTAAGGAGGTGGATGATTTCAAAGGCATGCTTCACAATTCGAACTGCCATTAGCTTTTTGCCATTGTTTCTACCGTGCATCATTAACGAATTCGTAAGACGCTCCACTATAGGGCACTGAGCTTTTCGAAATCGTTTTGCCGCGTAACGTCCAGCAGAATGTGGAAGATACTTTGCGTTCTTTTCTTTAACGGCTATGTAATCTTGCAGCGACATATCATTGACCTGCACATCGTCACAGTTCCAACGACCAAACAGCTTGATTTCTGGTAATTCAGCGGATAATGTCACGGGTAAAGTAGTCGTGGTGGGTACCACTCCTTCATCGAACGTTTCCATGTCAGCCATGGTTTATCTGTAAGATACATAAAGTTGTACATAAAGTAGTTTCATACTTTCCACAAACATGTATTATTAATATAATGTGCAAGAAATGAGGAGAAACAACACAAAAAAGATTATTTACATGCGAAAGGCTTTCTTAGTCCTGTTCTACGCGTCGACGAGAACAATGTGTCTAATTTAAATAAAAATATTTGGTGGCTAGATATTTCGTAACAAGGACAGAAATACTTTCAAAAAAATTTCTTTAACAAATTCGTGAGCACTGAATGTAGTTTCCTCGTGTCAGATGTCAATGAACACGATGCAACTAAGAAAAAAAAGTACGCGTAAATTTTATTTAATCGTAGCACACATATCAAACAGCTATCGGTACACCACAAAATTTGAATAGTAGTAGCACTCGTATTAGGTACAGGTTACTTTAGAGATGAAATTTTATCCAAAATACACTATTTATAAGTTCTGTTGATTCAGAATGTATGAAAATTGTGAAAACATGTGGCCATGTGGTCACATGTACAATAGGAACACTTGAACTCGTAATTTGTGAACCATTTGATACGTTTGCAATCACTGACAATCTTCGTGTGTTTCCAACGTTTTGATATCACTTTTTTTCATACGACCGGCAGGTAAATATGTCGAACCTCCGAATTTCTTACCATACAACTTACGTTCACGTCCTCGTTGGATTGAGCGTGAACAGGAAAAGGCCATGACACTAGAGGCGCTTCTGCCTGTGATTGCCGGATTCTGATCACTCTAGTCAACATCAATGCGTAATATAGTAATATTCCAAATTTACAGTCTATATCGACAATACTGTGTAGCATGTTCTATCGTACAATTAATTTACATGATTTCAACGACGAATTCGTTGTGTAAAATAACTGTGGATAAAAGAGAGGTTTCAGGTGTATAGTTGTTCGTTTGACTACGTGGTGTTTACGGCAGTCCTGTAAACGCACAAGCTGAAACGATTGGCTCGTGAGTTGCCATTTTGTGCGTGTATTTATGATCAATTCTATTTAAAACGTGCACGGTCGTCGAGTTTCAGTGAATTCTTGTTAAATCGTGGTTGTCTCTAAATGATACGAGTATGAAACAGTTCTTTCTAGTGTGTGATAAAGTGGCTTTTGTGTCATGTTGAGGGTTAGTACCGGTTGCCGAGTAAACCGGTACATGTCTGAAAGGAAAGTTCGCGTCAAGTGCGAAAGATGTCACCACTGAAAAATCTGAGACAACTTCCGGTTTTTGGACAAAAACGGTAAGGGTCGTTTATTATTTTTTTATTTACGTTCATATCGGTAGATAATGATAACTATCATAGATAAATTACGTAAAGACCCATGGGCTGTTTATTCGTAGACGAGATATGATACATATGTATTTAGTGCTCAAAGCGAATCGGATAAGAACGTATATCCTATAGTACAGTACGAAGATCTGTAGCACGCTGTGTCTATTGTTTCCTCGATTACATAGGTATCTCGTTCGAGTATAAACGCAATTAAGCGCTTAGCGTCATCGTTAAAGTTCCATAATTGCATTCGCGTAAAAGGTATTACGTCTTTACTCTCAGCGACAAGCTATTTGTCTTGGAGGCCAATTAACGCAGAACAACTTGCAAAATTATACTTGAAATTTCACACGAAACAGTTTTAATTAAATGTATATTACGTGGTCGCATCGTAGAACGTAAGTTTTCGATGTGCTCTTTATTCTCTTAAAGCTGAAAGCTTTTACCAAATACATATTTGCTTTTGTCAGCACGAATCACGTAAAGGAAACATTGAATCGTTCTGCGAATATATTTAAACGCCGATCGAGTACTCTCTGGAGTGTAACGCAAACACGACCTAAATACGATTAAGGGCTAATGCTTCGACAGCGTTAAAGTTGATAGACTATTGGTCGATTGGATGGAACTAATAGAAAGATTAGGAAGGGTGTAAGGAAGAAAAGGTCTACGTTTCTATGCTTCCACTTCTGAAGTCGACGTAACCGAATATTTCGATAGAGATCATATCAGAAAAGGCATTAGCTACATAGAGATTTCGTTTGATTCCGTAGGTATTCTTAGACACATCGTGAAAAGTAGCTGGGCAGGCACTGGTAGCCGAATCGTAAGGGGTTCGAGCCTGGGGTGTATCCTAGCAACTCACCGAAGACTACCGCTAGAGGGTAGTCGTTCAGTAACGTAACTATGGCTTTTAGTACCTGGTGCATCCACACCTTCGTTATTTTCCGTTCATTGACGATCGAATCTACTCTTCACTGTTATTGTTCTCTGCTGATTAAATATTTATCTCAAATTCCGAACATGTAAAGTTGACGTAGTTCGCTTCAGAGTCGCGGATCTATGGCTAGCGTTTACGCTCGGTCGTTTGAAACCTCGAGCTCGTCTTACGTTGTCGCGCTTTGCGGCGACACTCTTTGGTAATAAGTTATTGGAGTAAAAGAGAGGTCGAGTAACCACGTAGACACAAGTACCCGAGAGTTAACGGCTATATTGAATTTCTCTTTGCGTAACAACCTTGTCAGGCTTTTAGCGAAGCTAACAAGAGAGAAGCACCGACAAGACGGAAGGATAGCGAAGGGCAAAGGACGAAGAGAAGGAGCTCGGGTTCATTTCCGAGTGCATGTGTATGCGCGCGCTTGTATACATGGTATTACCGAAACGAGCGGTAGAGGAAAAGGGGGGGGGGGGCGAGCAGAATGGTGGAAGCGAGTCGAGGAGCTAGGGCTCAAGGAAGATGGCGTTACATATCGAGGTAAAATGTATGACAGGCTGTAAAGAAAAGAACGAAGGTAGAAAAGACTCGTAGAATATTTGACAATAAATACACGAAAGAATTGATAGATAGAGTGCAGAGAGTATAATAGAGTAGAAAGAAAGTTAAGAAATACGGAGATACTTTGCTATCGATAGGAAAAGTACATAAGGAGAATATAAGAGAAGTTCGCACGCATAGCGTTTTAAATGTACCAATTAAAGTTGGTTGGGGAAATACGAAAAATTGAAAACTGATCTCGAGTAGAATGTCGACGAATCGTGTTCGCGTAGCGGTAAAAAAAAAAAAGGAAAGCGAGGCGAAAAAGAAAAAGAAAAGAAGTTGTAACGATTAGGTGTTACGGTTGGCGTGTCCGGTGACGTTACGGTGAAACGGTCGATGCTGATACTGACAGCGTGGAGAACTTTGTTACGTACATACAAGGGGTTGCATATTCTCTGACTTTCTCGCACGTCTTTTGCACCCCTCAACTTCCAGTCATTGAGTAAACCGGCTATGTGGCTGGTTTCGACCAGGCATGAGCAAGTTTCTCATTTGAAATTTTTTATTCTATATTTCTCGACATTTGAGAAAGTTAATACAATTAATTAAAACAAAATTACAATTTTTATTCGTCGTCTATTATTCGAATAAAATTTGTCCACATCTGGTTCCGATTTCAGCTTTGGCTTTTGCAGATATTGGCACACACAGGTATACTGTGTCCCAGCTCTCGCTGGCCAACATCAGAGAATACCACCAAACGATCCCTTTCATCTCATTCCGTTCTGTTCCATTCTACTCCGAATAGTTCGTAGACACCGACGGTAAATAGATTCGTGTTAGTTTACTCATCTTGAAAATCCAGCTGCATCGGCCTACAGAGTGGCATACAATGTTTATCGTCGGAGCTCTGGTATCGCAACACCATTGAAAATTATATTCCGACTCGTTTGCGTCCCCTTTTATTTCCCCTGGCAGTT